CTGTACCTGTCAACATCTATAAAAAAAACCTTATGCAACTTCTGCCATCAGTGCCACTGAGTAAAGAACTCCACTTTAAATAGTCTATATTCTCATTCTAGGTTCCCTTCATTTTCAAGAACAAACATATTGATCCAAAATGCATTAAATATACTGCAAACCAATTCACTGCAGACTGGTAAGCCATTGTATCCTTTTACACCATGACCCTACCTAGATAATCTTGCATTTACAAAGCAACTTTCCTCCTTCAGAACTTTAATACACACATACCCTTTTTATCAAGCACCAAACACACACAAATGGCTTCTCCCAAAACTGAAACAGCAGCTCTTCAAATGCACATAGCAGCCCCTCACAGTTCGAGGAGAAAATAATATTTTATTTATATATTTTGTAGATATTTCATATATAAATAATATATAAAAATATAAAAGAAAATTTAAATTGGAATTGTGACACAATACTAGGGCTAACAGCTGTAATTTTCAAGAAAAATATTATCTTTAATACCAGGACTGTTGTGAGCCTTGGACTTTACATCTTATCTAAGGCAAAGATGATGCTTGAATTGTTTTCTTAATCAAGTTTGGCATCATTTCAGTATCAATTCAGTAACAGCCACCTAGTGAATCATTTCCTGCAGTTCCATGCTTTCCCTTGGGGAAAGCTGTGGAGAAAGAGGTGATCCCATTCAGCTGCTTTCCAAACCCAACCATGTTTAACTTATACAAGTCAAGTAGCCCGCAGGTTACAGCCAGGAGAATTATACTATAGTACACTTGTGTGCAAACTGATATGCCTGCTCTTTCCACACATTTTCTGCCATTCTTGTCCATCCACATAGTAAAATCTCTTGTCCAGGCTCCTCATCTTGTTTCAGGATGACCACAACATCCTTTTCTTTGGCCTTGACAAACACAATCTTGCCCCGATCAGAGCCATTCAGAATGGTGCTATAAGACCATTTTCCCAGCTCCTCACCTTGCCCAGATAAGGCTCTTGCATCCCTACAGTGGCTGCTGCTCCTCCTCGACTGCATTACACTGCAGCACTGTTCTCCATTTAGTCTCCTCTTTCTAAGGTTCTCGGGCACTTACACATGTGGGGAGCCTGCTCCGACGCGCTGGAAATCCAGCACTTCGGAGCAGAATTGAGTCTGCTAGTGTACATAGATTGATGCGCTCTGGCAGCATTGTATGTCATATGCATCAGCGGCGCAGCGTGCCTCTGCACTGAGAAAATGGCAGCAGCACGCTTTGAACTAAAACACGTTCAATGTGGTTTAGTTCAAAGTGTACCACCAACATTCTCAGTGTAGAGGCATGCTGCGCTGCTGATGCATGCTTTTGACGTGGCACCAAGCGCTTTTCATTAGCACAGCTCGCTAATTAAAAGCGCCCAGAGCTACGTCAGAAGCTCATGTAAAAATGCCCCTGATGACCTACCCCACCTCATCTAATCACCTCATATGCTATTGAGCAAGAAAAATTCCTGCCTCCAAGCAACTCATGATTTCACCACTACTTGCTAAATTTTCAAAACAAGCATCTAGGTGCTTTCCCCCTTCTTACCTGTCGTGCATGGGAACAGTTCACCATAAACAACCATAAAGCTACCTCATTATCCTCCAAATCTCTCAGCAGCACTCCCTGTCATGAGACTACAATAACGCTTGCCAAGCCAGGACCACTGCTTGTAATGCTAATACTATTTCTGTTTTATATTTCACACCTGTCTATAAACTCACTGCCCATCTTGTGCCAAGACCAAAATCCATGGGACAAGATTTTATTCTGTTTGTACAGCACTTTGATTCAGGATAATGGCTCTCAGGCAACCAAAGTAACAGTAAATGATTATGTATTTATTAGTGAAAAGGTTGGGAAGAATTCTCCTTTCCCTCTTCTCCCAAAGATCTATTTTACTTATGTTTTGGAAAAGAAACCAAAGGTTTGGCATAGCCTCCAAAAGAAACACACTACCCACTTTTGAGTCAGAAAAATGGACGAGCCAAATAAAATGTCTCTGTTGTAGACGAAGGCCCCAAGTTAACTATTACGAGTCATTTTTCCTAAATGTTGAGTAATAGCCACCACAGCCACATCAAAAAGTTTCCCAGGTTTTGAGATTTGTTGTGCTATGCAATTGTAAACAGATGGAGCCCAATCACGCAAGATGCTCAATACTTCACCCGCATTAAAGCGTTTAATATCTGTAGGCTCAGATTCCATGTAATCCAAATCCTTGGAGAAAGTCATGGTTTAGCTCTTCTGCTGTTTCTCAATTCAGGATCCTCCCTCCAGTCTCAGCCAGTCAGGGCAAGAAAGATTTCTCACTAGCCATAAACAAATCAGGCAAGAACTGCTGAAAGGAAATCGGTTTCCAGCTCCAGGATAGCTTAAGAACAAGGTCATACTTCCTTTGCCTTTATGTGTGAGTTCTGCACAACTGTTAGTCACCACACAGCATGTGGAAGCTATTTCTGCCATTTACACTGGACAATAACTAACAAGCACTCATTGCGAGAGTTCCTTGGACCTTTTGTAGCCAAACATCCATGACTGATCCTCCACTTCTGAGGTCAAAATCTTTTGACATCTGCTTCAGTTTCCCATAGTTATACCAGCTATAGATTATGAGACATTCATATGAATGACGTATTGCAAATAAGTAATACTAATCAGTAACCACAAGATGATTGGAGTTCAGGATGCAGAGGAAAGGAAGGATGGAGAGCAGCAAAATAAGGACCCTGGCCCTCAGAAAAGCAGACTTCGACTCACTCAGGGAGCTTATGGGCAGGATCCCCTGGGAAGCCAGACTGAGGGGGAGAGGAATCCAGGAGAGCTGGCTGTACTTCAAAAGATGCCTTACTGAGAGTGCAGGAACAAACCATCCTGATGTGCAGGAAGATTAGCAAGTATGGCAGAAGACAGCTTGGCTTAGTAGGGAACTCTTCAGTAAACTAAGTCACAAAAAGGAAGCTCATAAGAAGTGGAAACTTGGACAAATAACTAGGGAAGACTATAAGAGCATTGCTTGGGCATGCAGGGATGAAGTCAGGAAGGTGAAAGCACAATTGGAGTTGCAGCTAGCAAGGGATGTGAAGGGTAACAAGAAGGGTTTTTACAAGCATGTCAGTAGCAAGAGGAGAATCAGGGAAAGCGTGGGTCCATTACTGAATGGGGCAGGCAACCTTGTGACAGGATAAAGAAAAGGCTGAAGTGAACTGATTGCCTTTTTTGCCTCAGTCTTCACAGTGAAGGTTAGCTCCCAGACTACTGCACAAGGCAGTTTGGGGAGGAGGGGGAGCAGCCCTCAGTGCTGAAAGAACAGGTTAGGGACTACTAGAGAAGCTGGACATGTACAAGTCCATGGGCCCAGTTGGGAGGCACCTGAGGGTGCTGAGGGAGTTGGCTGATGGATTGTAGAGCCATTGGCCATCATCTTTGAAAACTCAAGGCAACCAGGAGAGGTCCTGGATGATTGGAAAAGGGCCCATATTTAAAAAAGGAAAAAAGGAGAATCAAAGGAAAAAAGGAGAATCCAGGGGCCTGCAGACCAATCAGCTTCACCTCAGCCCCTGGAAAAATCATGGCGCAGATCCTCAAGCAATTCATTTCTAAGCACTTGGAAGAGAAAAAGGTGATTAGGAACAGTCTGCATGGATTCACCAGGGGCAAGTCAGGATGAGGTGACTGACTCTGTGGATGTGGGGAGACCAGTGGATGTGGCATACCTTGATTTTAGCAACGCTTTTAATATAGTCTCCCACAGCATTCTTTCAGGCAAGCTAGGGAAGTAAGGGCTGGATGAATGGACTGTAAGGTGAACAGAAAACCAGCTGGAGCATCAGGCTCAGACAGTAGTAATCAATAGCTCGATGTCTAGCTGGCAACCAGTATCATCAAGTGGAGTGCCCCAAGGGTCAGTCCTGGGGCTGGTTTTGTTCAGTGTTGTCATCAACAACCTGGAAGATGGCACAGAGTGCACCCTCAGCAAGTCTGCAGATGACACCAAGCTGGGGGGAGTAGTAGATATGTTGGAGGCTAGGGCTAGGACTCAGTGTGACCTAGACAAATTAGAGGATTGGGCCAAAAGGAATCTCATGAGGTTTAACAAAGACAAGTGCAAAGTCCTGCACTTAGGTCGGGACAATTCCATGTACCAGTACAAGCTGGGGGCTGACTGGCTGGGCAGCAGCTCTGCAGAAAAGGACCTTGGGGTTACTATGGATGATAAGCTGAATGAGCCAGCAGCGATCCCTTGTTGCGAAGGCGGCGAACAGCATACTGGGCTGCATTGGTAGGTGTGTTGCCAGTAAGTCAAAGGATGTGATTATTCCCCTCTATTCAGCACTGGTGAGGCCACATCTGGAGTACTGTATTCAGTTTTGGGGCCACCACTACAGAAAGGATGTGGACAAACTGAAGAGAGTCCGCCAGAGGGCAACAAAAATGGTGAGGGGGGCTGGGGGACATGACTTCTGAGGAAAGACTGAGAGAACTGGGCTTATTTAGTCTAGAGAAGAGACGAGAAGAGACAAGACTGAGGGGGAATTTGATAGCAGCCTTCAACTACCTGAAGGGAGGTTTGAAAGAGAATGGAGGGCTATACTGTTTCTCAGTGGTGGCAGACAACAGAACAAGGAGCAGCGGTCTCAAGTTGCAGCAAGGGAAGTTTAGGTTAGATATTAAGAAGAATTTTCTCACTAGGAGGGTAGTAAAACACTGGAACAGGTTACCCAGAAAGGTGGTAGAAGCTCCATCCTTTTTTAAGGTTTTTAAGACCTGGCTAGACAGAGCCTTGGCTGGGATGATCTAGTTGGGGATGATCATGTTTTGAGCAGGGGGTTGGGCTAGATGTCCTCCTGAGGTCCCTTCCAACCCTAGCTCTCTACGATAATCAAAGCATGTGCTACACCAGCTTACTCCATCTACTGAAGGGTGGTTACGGGAGACAAACGTCACAGAACATTAATCCACTGTGCCACTTACCATTCTTCCTTTCACTTAGTGGGGGAAGGTTGGGATTTTGGCCATGATGGAGATTCAGGGTCAGCTCGGGCTGCAAGGAGAGCTCCTGCAGCTCATTGGCAACGGCTTCACTCTGGGGGCTTGGTGCTGCCGAAAGTGACACCAGCACCGGCTCATCATCATTTTCGCCTGCCCCTCCTCCGTCCAGCCCATTGCCAGCAATGACAGAAGGGGGCAGGCACACCACGCCGGAGAAATCCACTTTGGCTTTCGTGATGGCAACCTGCAAGAGAAACAACACAAGTTTGGATCTTATCATAGGGAGAGCTATCCCACTTCCATAACTGGACGTGGCATCTCTGCATTGAAGTCCAGGACACCACTTCTAGATGTAGTTTACTGTTTGCATTATTGCTGTCAACTCAGACTCAGTCATTCATACCCACTAAGCCTATTAGCCTCAAGACTTGCATGGCATTTTCCTGTCCTCAACAGGGTCATTCACTGTGCCCGATGATCAAACAAGCTACTAACCATTGTTACCCTCCTGTTTTTTATACAGCTCCTACAACAGTACTCCTAACCTTAGTTATATCTCCTCATTTTTTGAAGGAAGGAAAGACAGCATTAGTTTTATGGTGTTTAGCATCTGCCAATGAAACAAGTTTAATAAGAATTAAGGACTTTTCTTCCTTAAAATAAATAGATAATATAAAACTTGCTTGAAATCCCATCAAGGGAGTGAAAACAAGTGGAGTAATTTCAGGTAGTATACCCGTTTCTCTGGCTCCCAGATAATGTGATTTTCCAAGCACATCCACACTTTAAAATAAAATACTGGCCCTCTTCCCCCATTCTTAGGGTTACCATACATCTGGGTTTTCCTGGACAGGACCTCTATTTGAGTCCTCCTATCTCCATCAAGGCAGTTTTTTTTAAATATCAAAAAATATCCAAGATTTTGTTCTGCTCAACACTGAAGTTTTTTCCTGGCACTTCCCAGCCTGCCCTAGCAAGGAGCTGCTTGGGGCTGGGGGGAGTAGGGAGAGGGCGATTAGAGGTAGGGGGCATCACATGGTGGTAGGACAAGCCCCAACAGCTACATGCAAGTAAGTCTGGGGGAGGCCACGGCTTGTGGACCTTCCGGGGGGCCTGTGTGTATGTGCACGCACACACGTGTGTGGCAGGGGATGGGTGTGTGAAGGGGGGTGGGTACTTGTCAGCATTGGGGCTACAGCAGGGTAAGGGAGACACCTGCCCTCCCATGGCAGGGGAGCCCTTTGGGGACAGCAAGGAGCTGCACAGCCAGGCTGGCAGCACTGGGATCGGTGTCTGTGCTTGCAGGGGTGGGGCCACTGGGAGACACTGCAGGGCTGGGGGGAACAGGCAGCTGCAGGTCACAAGCACGGGGCACTGGCAGGGCCAGGGGGCTGCAAGTCAGGAGGGAGAGGCACCAGCATGGTCTGGTGGGAAAGGGTAGAGTACTGTGGGTCAGGAGTGAGAGGCAGCAACAGGGCTGGGGAGTGAGGGGGAAGGGCAGCTGTGGCTTGGGAGTGAGGGGCAGGGGTAGGGCATGGGTCTATCACTGTCCCCCCACCAACAATCATATTACCTGCCCCCCTCCCTGCAGGTCTCCTCTTTCTTGAAACTGGAAATATGGTTACCCTTCCCATTCTGCAAGCAACCCATACAAAGCGCAAATTAATTATGGAGGAAAAAAATAACTGTACATAAAGTAAAAAAGTGTTCCCTTGTAATTTCTGAGCTACAGTTTTTATAAAGTATAAATCAAAAATCAATTATGCAAACAGGCTATTCAAATATGTGCACATTTAAAACCCACATCTGTGTTCCCATATAGCTGCCTTTCAAATGGATGAATATGCAGGATGTAAATATAATCAGCTGGACAGCTTCAAGATGAGAACCAGTAATGAAAGATGTACTAACATTAACAGGAGTTTGTACTAGGGCATTCACATCCAGCTTTGATGGAGGTGAGGGTTTCCTGCATCTCAATCACTGCTGCTTCTACCTGTCCAGGCTCACAGGCCAAGACTGCATTAACTCTAGCTCTGCTGCAGCTATTTATCAGCCTGTAGGATTTTCAGAAGCTAAGCTTCCATTAAAGAAATGGAGATAACTATGAAGGCAACAAAATGAGATCTGCAGGAAATCCCTATCTATGTTTTGAAAACTATTCAAAACAGTGCAAAAGTCTCACCTAAACAAAAACGTTTCCCTTTAGAGATTAAACAGCAGGGGGAGTTCCGTTAAAGATAATTGTACTTTCTAGTCTTGGTTACTAGGGACAGAAATTGCACATAAACCAGTATAAGTGATCAGAAACCAGTTCAAATCTGTAACACAACAGAAGTTCAGTATACATAAACCTCTTTCAAAATAGTCGAAACCAGTTTAAAATAGATCTGGATGGATGTAGTTTTAGACTTAACTGCTTTAGGTTAAATCAGTTTATTGAACTTCTGTCCCAGGTCCCCTCCAGATTCAGAAGTTAACTCATAGTCCCTCCCGGATCCAGGATGCTTTGTACCTCCCCCACAAAATTCCCAGCCCCTTGCAGGGTGGGCAGCCTCGCCTTGGCCCAAGCTGTCTGCTGCAGCTGAGCAGGAAGGCGTGCTCTAGCACTCCCCAGCTTCTGGCCTGGGCCACAGCAGGCACATGGCTGCATTTCCAGAATCAAAAGAGAATCTGTTCACTTGCTTAGACTAACCTGCAAAGATTGAATGGATTCAGCCTCGGGGCTTTTTAACTGTCTGTACTTCGCTGATACGTGCATCAAGTCCAGCAGCCACTGTATTAACTGGTAACCTAAAACAGCTTGAAATGGATTCAAACAAACCCACCTTTTCGTGGGCAAGGCTTCAATCTTTGGCTAGGTACAGAGACATTCAAAAAGCCCGAGATGGAATCAATCTAACTTACGTGTTTTTTTGTAAGCAGCATAGTTTAGGTCAGTGGCAAACAGGACACACATCTGCCCTCTGGCTGGGGGGAGCGGGGGGAGGGGGGCGAGGCTGCGCACAAATCAGACTGGGTTCTGCCATTTTTAAACCAATACATGTGCACCAAAACTTCTGTTCTGTTACAGGTATAGCCCCATTTCTGATCACTTATACAGGTAAAAGTATGCCTGTACCTGGCTTGGAGCTTCCATTTCCCTGTTTTTCTTTGCTACCTCAAAGATGATGATTAATGTTTGCAAAGCACTTTAACAAGTAACAGCAAAGTGCTAAGCAGTAGTATCCTTGCCTCAGAGGAATGCATACCAAACGCTCAAACCATCACTTAGAATTGCTGCAATGTATACAGACTAATTTCAGCAATGCTGTCATAGCCATCCCTTGAATTCTGCATCATGATCTCAAGACAAACTATGGAAAGTTGGACGGATGGTCTCCAAGTACGTCAACTGGAAGGAAAAAAAAAGGGTGCTTGTTCTAACAAGAGAAATGAAATAGACCTAAAGTCAGCTACAAGATTAAGCATGTGTTTTACTTCATTTCATTTCAGCTAGAATAAGACTATCCTTTCCTTGATACATTTTCTAACAAATCTTGTTCATATTCATTTAAAAGCATAATTTCAAAGGTGATCTGCAAAGAGAAAAAATAATGGGTTTCCACACCTTTTGTTTCTTTATGATGTGAAAACAAAGCCTGAAAACTTTTCTCCCTCACTGCCTCCAAGATGTAGAATAGCAGAGTGTGATGGACATACAGACCCTGCATAGGCTGGGAAGAGTTAAACTGCAGTGGACTGTCAGCTCCACCCACTGCCCTTCTACTCATACTGGGCCTGACTAAATTTGACACATCTTCCTCATTTGGCAGCTGCCTAGAGAGGGACCTACTGCTATCAGTTCAGGAGAGAGGGCTGGCTAGAACAATTGTAAAGCAAGACTAAAGCCAGATAAAAATCGCCCTGACAGAGAGGTAGCTCAACACTAAACCTGATGTCAATAGTTAAGCAAGCCCCTAACAGGGGATGCCCCACCTGGGAGGAAGAGAGATGCAAACTGAGCACAAAGTGGGCAGATGAACAGCTTCAGATACAGTCGAGCTCAACTGGGATAAACTTACCTTATTTTGTCTGCTTAGAGACTAGAACAGTAGTGTTCGCTACCCCAGCAGAAGACAGAACTTTTGTAATGGCCTAATCAGAGCAACTGATCCACGACCACTGGTGTATCTACTGGGGGAAACCGAGGCAGAGAGATAGCAACATCCTGCCCAGTCTACCCATTGGGAAGCAGTGACCCCATAACAGATGCCTCCAAACCTTGCAGCAGCTAACAAAGAAGTTGGACTGGCAGTGGACTCATCTTACCTTCTTCCCTAGAAGATCCTTCCCCCTTCAGGTAGAGAGAAAGGATTCAAAGCTATCACACGTCATGTTTAAACTAACAAAAATAGGCAGCATGTCAAAGCATGTTCACTAAACATGTTTTAACATGATTTTAAAACAAAACTGGACCTGGAATAAGCAAACTAAATTGTATTTAAAACCATGTTAGCCAATACACTGTTTTAACGCAAAACTTGTTTTCCTAGTCTAGGCACACCTAGATTAGCCAGACACCGATCTCGGAGATACACACTCCCAAGCTACCACATGGAATTTAGCAGGATGACAAGGGTTGGGTTCCTCACAAAGGAGTTGCATATGAACCATGCAGATTTCCTTACTGCACCGCTCTTTCATCATTTTCCAACATATATATCTCCTGTTCTACTTGACGTGCCATTTAAAATTTGTATAGGAGTCTCCATCTCCCATTGCAGAACTTTATAAAATCCCTAAAAAGACAAAGTATCAGTCTAACAAATGCAGAATTCCTGGCTGTGCACAATCTTGATTGTTCCAGACCATGGCCCTGACTCCAACAAGTC